AAATGGTCTAAGATGCATCTTTCTTAATTTAGTGATGAGGCCCATTCGTGAATTGGAGAATCTATCACAGAGCAAGAAACATGTGCCTTGTGTGGCACAATCACCATGTGCTCAGAAGCTCAGAAGCCTATGTTCCTTTCCTCAAATATCTTGGATAGGTGTTGATGTATTAAACATATGATTACAGGTCAGAAAATGTGATATAAAGACTCCAGGTGTGAGAGAATTCAGAGAGTGGGGATCAGGAAAGTACTTGTTTTATAAAACCGTAGCTCATTTTCTTTAAATTATGAACTTGGGTATGAAATAAATATATTTTACAGATTATCCTAGTTTGTTGGCTCTAATCATCTAACTCTTAAATTCTTGACACTCTCTTAGATCTCAGAATTACATTTGATGCAATTAATAACTCTATATTTTGCCCTAAAATGACCAGCTCCATAAAGTCAGGCCAAGGGGTCTGAATATGAATGCTTTAGAATCCTATTTGTTCAGACTCTTCCAATATCTGTTAACATGCATTAGAACAGTCAACCCAAGGCAGATTCAAGAGTCTCACCAAGCTCATGGCCTGTCTGATCCAACCTCCGTCTGCCTATAACTATCCTTGATGCACCAACTCTTTGTGCCACGACCCCCAGATTTCTTTCTCACTCCTGTCTTTCAAGTAAATCACCTTCACTTTATTTCTTTTTACTGTTTGACATTGAGCATTCTATAGGTGTATTGACTGATTACAGCTAATTCCCTGCACTGAAGTTGGGTTTCCCATCTTTATCATTGTTTGATACATTACTACAGTAGCTCTTACCTCATATAAGTCTAATTTGGAAGGGGCGCCTGGGTGGCGCAGTCGGTTAAGCGTCCGACTTCAGCCAGGTCACGATGTCGCGGTCCGTGAGTTCGAGCCCCGTGTCAGGCTCTGGGCTGATGGCTCAGAGCCTGGAGCCTGTTTCCGATTCTGTGTCTCCCTCTCTCTCTGCCCCTCCCCCGTTCATGCTGTGTCTCTCTCTGTCCCAAAAATAAATAAACGTTGAAAAAAAAATTAAAAAAAAAAAAGTCTAATTTGGAAAGCCCAGCCATCAGTGGAGTGGGGGGCTATCTCGTGTCCAGTTTGCATGGCATACACGTGGGTGTGGTGGTGTCTAGGCTCCAGGTTTTAACTATCTGCTACCCAGGTGTGATGATTTATCCTGTTTGCGACTGTCCTGAGTTAGTCCAAGGCTCCCTTTTATACTGCACCATTCCGTCACTGATGCAAGTGTAGGTCTGAAGAAAATTTAAAAAGATTCTTTAGGACAATGTCATGAACTTCCTGTACCAAGATTCAGAGAGGTTATCCTCATGCTTCCTGTGGAGATCTGGTCCCCACTCCTTTGCTTTGGTGTGAAACATGGCATCTGAACAGATGCAAAGGCCCCTGTAGATACATATCATGTTGAGAGCAGACTCCGGCCACAAGTCCAGACATCCGCTCACTGTTGGTTGGCAACTTCAGGACATGCAGCTGATAGTTGGAGCCCAGCCTACCATACGGCGTGCCTTCCTAGTGCACAGCCTACCATATAGTGTGCGTTCATAGTTCAAGCCACAAGTGCACCTGGAGTTTATTTTCTTTGTGTTAAATCGGAGGACGTGCCAATTAAAAGGGAACACATATGTATTTTCTCTTAGAAAGTAGTTAATTGATGAGCTACTAATTAATCAGTTCATAAGACAATATGAATAAGCTCATATAGAAAGCCAACAAACATCGAAGGGCAACATACTATATTAGAAATAATTTAAGCAAGTGTGTGATAGATCACTGGAAGCGAAAATGATGCGTCGCATGGTTTAATCACGAACTATGGTAAGAGCTCCAACCTGAATAGCCTTTTGGGGTACTCCCCGTCCTGATGTGTCCTAAGGGTTTTACTTACTTCACCGGCCTGCAGAGTACCAGGTTTCCATGTATGAAGTGGACCCACGATGTAACTGCAAAGTGCAGACGGAAGCACTGCTTGGCAGCTCCATGATCTGTGTGCATTCTCCTTCTTTTAAGCCACCTGAGTGCTGGCATGTCAGGCTCTGGAGTCCTCAGAGGATGGAGGCAGGAGCCAGACTCTGGCCGGGCCCTCCTTGTCCGTGAGATGCGGTGGGGCTGCAGGCTCTGGCTGCGTGGTGAGGGGTAGGCACTCCCTCCCTGCACAGCCCAGAGATTGCTGAACTTCGTGGCCAACACTAGATGCTACACTCATTGGCCCCGGGGCCTGTCCTGTCAGTGAGATACAGCTGCAGCTTCAGGTAACCACAAGTGGTTGAAACAATATCATGCCTCTGCATGCACGTGCGCGTATGTGTGCGTGTGCACATGTTTGTGCACAAAGGCTTACATAGGTGCAGGAGTCCTGTATCCGATAGACGGTGTATTTTCACGGACATGTACATATATCTAAGGAACATATTCGCATATATAAGTCTGTGATTTAAAACACCATGCCTTAGTATCATTTAGAGATTTCCTTCTTACTATAAGATAAGATACTTGGGGTTAAATTATAACTAAGAAAACTGAACCCAGTGCCAACACAGCTGAGCTAAGGCAGAGAAACACAGAAGTGTGTGTCTGTGTGTAGGCACACACATTTATTCTTTTCATTTGGACCTTATTTTTTAAAAGTATACTTGGGGGTATTTTAAAGTAATAATAGATTGTATATTCAAACTCTTAAAAATAGTGCAGCGGAGTTCACTATTTGACCACAACATACAAATTTTCTGTGCATTTTATTCTGCTTACTTCTTTTAGAGAAATGCTTTGTCCTCTGTAAAATGGAAGCATTCCATAGTGCTACGTCTAGCTCTCTGACCATTCTGGGGTCCTCCTTTCCTCGGTAGTGACCACACAACCTGAAGAAGTGTCCCTTACAGGCGGCTGCTTGTCTGGGGAGCTCAGGATCAGTGTCTGAGACACAGGAGAATGCATGTTCCCATTTTTTTTCCACTGACTGTAAATGATTCCTATTCTTTGCTCCACAGAACATCCGATGTGCTGCCCAATCAGCTGAAAAAGCTGCGCAGACGTCATTCGTTCTGTGTGTGCGTGTGTGTGTGTGTGTGTGTGTGAGAGAGAGAGAGAGGGGGGGGAGAGAGAGAGAGGGAGAGGGAGAGAGAGAGGGGAGCCGGCAGCTGCTTTGCCGCGTGCCGAGTGGAGTCTCCATTAGGGCAGCTCTATTGATTTCTGATTCGCACTGCAGCAACAGGGCAGGGGTGTGGGAGAGAAAAGATCACATCTCAGAGATAAGCATCACTAACGGCAAAAATAAGTACACACACACACACACACACACACACACACAGAGCACACTCATCACGCATCTGTTACCAAAAGGAATCGAGAAGGGAAATTAAGACAGCTAAATTGAAAGACTATTATAACTTAGAAAAATGTATAATAAAAATAAAGTATAATGAATTCAGGAAGACCCTTGGTTCTAATTTTTAAGCCATTTTTTAAATGAGAGATGGTCATGTTCTGATTTCCAGAATGCCTTAAAAAAACGGAAAAATTGGACAGAGATGCTGGAAAGTATAGCTTCTTTGAGGGCAGTCTTGAAGATCTGCCTGAGAATTATGAAAAAAGGTCAGAGATTTATTTTTATTAAATGTGTTAGATTATTGTATCAGTTAGTCAGCTTTCATTTTCCTGTTTTGGATGCTTTGTGCTGCAGAATATCTGGGATACAGTAGCAGGTGGGTTGCAAAGCCTTGAAACAGAAATAGGTTGCATTTCAGAGTCCAACTGTGAGCCTGTGAAGCAGCGAGCGCTCTCTCAAGGTCTGTTGCCTCAGATTTGGTTAGAAATGATTGTATCTAGGTGTAGGATGGTGACTTGGTCTTTCAGACGGCTTGAGTTCATAACTGGCCCTTTTACCCTAAGACTTATCAACCACCTCCCTCCCCCGAAGAATGACGGAGGTAAGTGCAGCTTTACCATAATGGTGCTGTCAGGCAGGCAGTCTGCATGTGAGCAGCGGAAAATCAGAAGAACCGAAGAATCCATTCCCATCCCCCACCCCCGACCACGCACACGCGCGCACACACACACACCCACACACACACACATACTCCAACACCAGTCGGTTAAGGGGAAAAAGGGCGATACCTTTTTAAAAAACGAAAGGCAGTAAGCCATTATTAGCAAGAGCTATATTGAGCATGCTTGCCAGACAGGCAGCAAAGCCAAGCTCCAGTTCCGCCCAGACATGTGCCTTGCCATTTTCATTTTAATCAGCCTGCTCAGGATGGCTGCTGATTCATTTTGCAGGATGTCCCCCTGGGAGCCAAGGTGGAAGCCTGAAGCAAGCTGCTACTGCATCAATGCAGGACAGCACATCAGACAGGGAGAGTGGGGGAGGAGGAGGCGGGAGATTCCACATTCCAAATTTCAACATGGCTATTTAAACATCCTTCCCGAAAGCAAGTCCACTACAGAAAAGATAATGAAACGAAAATAAAGAAAAGATATGTCACATTGTCATTCCATTACCAAACCACCCCCCTCCGATCACACACACACACACACACACACACACGCGCGCGCGCGCGCGAGCATTTCCACAGCATGCCTTGAAATTCTAGTTTTCTTCATGGTCAGTGCAAACTGCAGTGTGTGTGTGTGTGTGTGTGTGTGTGTGTGTGTGTGTGTTTACCTGGTAACTAGCTGGGGTGGTACACCTGATTTAGCTGGAGACTTTGATTTGTGGGATTGACAACCTTATTATGCAGTGAGCTTATTATTGATATTATTCTGCTCTCGGTTGCCATGGCCACCTTGTGAGAGACATTCAATTTTCTCTCTTCCATCATCATTATCTATGAGGCCATCTGTTGTGGAAAATGAATTCAGCCTCATTTGCATGACTGATAAGCAATTTTTTTTTTTATCTATTTAACAGAAGGTCATATGCCGGGGATTTGGAGCTCGTGAAAAAAAAAATGTGGAGGAAAAAAAAGCATATCGAGAGCATGAGTGGGAGTGTGTGCATCAGGGGACGCATGTGGAAGTGAAACAGATCCCTCAGGCCTGCGAGCCGATCGCACTGCATTTGTCAGTCCTGCCCGGGCGACATTTTTTCCCTAAGCTACCGCACACTAAGCAGTGAGAGAGCTTTCCTCGCAGTCTTCTTGAAGCCCCCTGATTTTTTTACTTATTGTTGGTGGGTGTATTTCATTTTATGCTTTATTCCCTGGACTATGGGTTATGATGTCAATATTCACTGGAGACAAAAAGCAACCTTTTCTGCATCTCGGTGGTAGGCATATTCCTCTCTTCCTTTCAGACCGGTGGTGGAAAGGGGTTTTCTTTTCTTTGGGTGTCTGTTGAGCCAGCACAGTTACCAGCAGTGAGTTTGTCTTGAACTTGTGAGCGGCTGTGGTCATGTTGTGAGGTATGTGGTCTTCGTTAGGTGAATTCTGTGGACTCGGTGGACAGCGGACGTGTTTCCGTGGTCCGGAGCCTCATGCTGCAGTGCCCATTGTTTGCTCCTTTTTAAAGTTATTTTTACAGCATGGCTGGGAGCTGCAATGTTCCAGGTCTAGAGAGTGCGTAATCCACAGAAGTCTCTCTTTACGGCAAAATGGGTATTGAGATGCATGCCTTAACTGTGGTGTTGTTTATTTAAAAAAAAACAAACAAACAAACTTGCTGCATGATGATCCTTGGAGGATTTGCGGGCACTGAAGCCAGAACTTAACAGAGACTTTACTGGGTTACTTTACATTGCAAATAAAGCACAGCATTTTTACAGAGGCTGTTAAAACATGAGATGTCCTTGCTGTGATGTTACATTTGCCTAGATGGTAAGAAAGTTGGCTTATATTGTTTAAACTCAGAAACTCAAAGATTTTTAACTATAGCCTGAATGTTTGAAGTTCATAATGATGAAACATTATTTCAATTATAACAGAAATATGTCTTCTAAAGCAACTTAAATTAATAAACTGGACGTTCAAACTGCACACTTTAATTTCAAGATAGGTCACAATAAAGAAATAAATATATATGCAAATATTCACATGATAGTTATTTATTCAAAATATAGAGCACTGATTTTGAAGTTAGTACGAAACTAACCATGACAATTTTTTATGTTACTAACACTATATAATGTATAGAATTTTTAAGTTATTTATTTACTTAGGATAAAAATATTTTTATAGGAGCTTTTTGGCTTAAGTGCATTTTACTGCACAAAATTAACTTCATAGAGAAAAGCACCCTACCACCACCCTTATAGGCATAAGGGAGTCTTTCTAATTGTTCAAGTTCATAAAAGTTATGTTGCTTTCTAACTGATACAGATAAAAATGTGATCACCTTTAAAAAAAAATGGTTTGCACAGTATTCCTTTTTGAAAAACAGTTCCATTGCATTCCTGTAAGTTTTCACCTCTCAAGAACTTTGAATACAAAGTGTTGATTGTATATTACATGCACTACCAAGTGACACATTCCTGAAAAATGGAAGTTTATTTTTTCTAATTGATGTGGAAGAAAGTGTATTATTCTATGATCTTGAGTACAATAAGTTCATTGGTTAAAGTTCTCCTTAAAGTTGAACTGTGGTTACATATTTTCTGTATTAGAGACAATAGACCATGGCTGATGTGTTTGTAAGAGAGTTTTTTACTTGATGGCACTTCTTTTAAAACTCTTGCTACAGTAGCACGGACTACTCATAAGCACTAGCGGCTGTTATATAATCCCTCCTTTTTAAATCAGCCATTTTTTAAATATATTTTAGCTTGAGTATTAGAGAAATGATTTCATTTTAAATATTAATTTCACACTTAGAAAGTTCAAAACAACAAAAGCCTGATAGTTTGTGAGGATTATTTAAAGTGACATCACTTTTCTCAGGGGACTGTAGTTAAGGCACAGTAGCGTGATACCTGCATCTATATTATAAGATGAAGGGTTATGCTGTTGCCTTTTGATCAGTACATGTAGCCTTCAGATTTGTAAAGCAGAATTGTCAACTTCTGAGAAACCTAGGAGGTAGCATAGTTGATTTTTCCCTCCCCCCCCCCAAAAAAAGTTAATTACCAATCTTGGTTGGATTCTTCCTTGCCTCCCTGACATTTGACTGCTGCTAATTCACTGATTAATCTCATTAATGTGATTATAGTGGGATTTGGAGCTGGCTGCCATTGTTCTGTAGACAGTGCTATTCAGCCTGAGCACTTTGCCACCTCATTCAGTTTTGCTGTGATTTTTCAAAGCCTGGTTGAGTGAGCTATTGTGAGCAAGGCTCCTCTCCCTTTCCCTTTCAGCACCGGGAGCTGTCCGCTGCTGATAGCAATTACATTCAGCGGTGACTGACTTCCTACTAGTTTACTGGCAATGTGAAAATGGCTTACTTTCATCACCTTAATGATTGTGCTCCTTGAGGAAGAAGCAGGAGCAGCCTTTACGGTCACAATTGGGTGTTCTGAAGATGGTGGCAGAAAGGATATGCAATCTCAGTATTTTATTTTGCACATAAAAATTTTACCCTACTTTCCAAATCACCAAACATGATTTCATTAGAATTACGTGCATATGTACAACTGTGAGTGGAAAAACTATAAACACTAGGTAGACATGTTTTTTCAAGTGGAAAATATTTTTGTAATAGAAATTTATGTAATAATTGATAAAATTTTGTTTTCGGAACCATGAACTAGGATTATCAAGATGAACCTGTAAGGCAATAAATAAGTGCACGTAAAACATAAATTTCAACGTCTCTTGAGCTAAACTTGCATCCTCCAGTAAAACTTAGGCTGATTTCATACATGTGAAGCTGACATCAAAGTTGAAGGCCCAATAATTTGTGACCGTGGATGTGTGATGTACCAAAATCCCTGAAGGAATGAAAGCACCTAATTTCCTTTTGGGTTATAAAAACAGCACAAGCATGATTTTAGGAAAATGTGAGCATTTTTAGAAAAGGAGCCTCTTCAGTTTATGGTTTTCATTGTTCCTGATGTGTTTTCACGTAGCTTATTTATTTTTTACTGTCTTGAAAATATTTATGTTTCATGGCTTACTACTGAATGCAGCTGATGTTTTATGTCTGTTTTCTATGCCAATTTTCAATACATTAGGGAGGAGAAATAACTTATTTTTGCAACTTCAAGGTTTTTTAAAGTTTCTCTATTCGTTAAAACTATACTTGAAATTTAGAGTCACTAATATGACTATTTGTTGATTTGCTTTTAGAAACACCTCACATGTGTGATTTAAAAATCCAAACCAGTCCTCTGTGAAAAAATTATTCTGTTGCCTAAATAATGTTTTCAGAGTCATATGGGTAGATTTCCAACTCTACCTGTAAGATAATCTAATTTGAGGGAGAGATATTGTTTAAGAAACACAGTATATCACCTAAAATACTTTGTTTACTTATTTCATATTTTAATGGCTATCTTTTTAACTTCAAACAACTTAACATTTTAATTACCCTTAAATATTTTATATCAAGAAACCCACTTAGTGTACTAAGAGGGATTAGCAAGGCTCTTTTCGGTAAAGACCGCCCTGCCCTGACATTGAAGTGTGGCCCATCTGGCTGTCCCCTTGAGTTCAGGGCTACAATTCCAATCAATAACCAGGTTTTCAACTGCATCTACTACCTAGCCATAAAGTCTGCCTTGACACAAAGTCCCACCAGAAGTCTGTCCAGGAAGCAAATGAATGCAGATTCAGAAAGAAAGATCTTTATTTTTGGTAAATTCTTATAATCAAATTACTTCATATCATAATTTCATTGCAATAGTATTATTTGTTTTATTACTTCCAAATTTTTAAAAGGGCCCTTTTCACAAATGTCTTCTTTTTGTTTTCTTTGAAAATATGTGTAGCATTCCTTAGAAAGGAGTAACAGAGGCTAAACTTGAACAAGACTTGCAAATGATTAACATATTTTTCAGCACGCCAGCTAAGTTTCATCAAACCACATTCTTTACCACAACCCTACACCTGGCACTGATCTATGTTTATTCCAAATTAAACTAAAGAGAAAAGATATTACAAACTTTAAGTTGTGTGTGTGCATAAAATTATTTTTTAAATTCTATTTTGCACTGGTGGGGGTAAATTGTATCCAAATATCATGTGTGGCTGATATTTAAAGAAAGGATATTTTTTTTAATTGGCACATACCACAAATTAGAAATCTTGTCTACAGTGATCATAACTTGTACAAGAAATAATATTAAACTCTCTACTTTTGTAGTAATCTATTGTATGATTTTTCTGATATCAGATTATTTTAAGGTAGCAGCTATACATTTTCCATGAGTAGGCTGTATTTCAATGCAACATGGTTTCATTTTGGAGTATGCTTTGTGTCCTGTCCTCTCTCTCTCTCTCTCTCTCTCCCTCCCTCCCTCTCTCTCCCTGCCTCTCCCTCTCCCTCCCTCTCCCCCTCCCTCTCCCCCTCCCTTTCCCCTCCCTCTCCCCCTCCCTCTTCCTCTCTCTGTAACTCTGTTCCTGTTTGTCTGTTTTTGCTTCCCTCTCTTCTCTCTGTGTCTCTTTCACACCTGCATTGTTCAAGCATACACAATGATTTTTCTATGCCTGTTTTCACAATGAAACTGTTTTAAGCTTTGACATAATAATGAGTCCTCAGGGTATCTGTAGAAGTAATCAGAGATGGCAGAGAAAATGTAAGCCAGGTGTTATAAAAGTAGGAAGAACGCACAAATGCCTATTTATTATGTGAAGAAATACTGATAAGCATTGCTGTGTCGGGCTGTTCTCCTGGAAAAATTTTTCCTAAAATGTATCTCTTTAAAAAAAAATCCTTACTCCCCACGTGGTGATTATTGGAAAAGTTGGGAGGGGGAGGAAAATATTTTAGTCTCAGTGAAAGGGGTGTTGTGCTGTGAGAAGGCAGAATGGTACAGGATATTCTCCTAAAGCATCTCTAGCTCTCGCACTGCAGTGATTTCCAGCAGGGCTGGGTGGGAAGGGAACAGTAGCCTGTGTAGGAACCAGTGTGTCTGGTCTCAACACGTCAGGCAAGAGGCTCGGGATTTAGGGGAATCACCTCTGAAAGCTGGAATAAGGTGTTCTTGGGAACTTCAGACTTCTGCACTGCCCACCCCCCACCCCCACCCCGACGGAAGCCACAGTCAGCATTGTGTTCTGTGGAAAGCCTGCAGTGGTTTAT